ATTTTAGGGATTGCTGATCTGTTTTGATGATCAACTCACGTCCAATGAGATAATGCCTCCATCTTTTCAAAGCTTCCAGAATAGCCAGAGCTTCTTTCTCATAAGTGGACAATGCTGCATTTCTAGGGCAAAAGGAAGAACTATAATATGCCAAAGGTCTTCCTTGCTGCATGAGTACTGCTCCTATTCCTTTCCCTGAAGCATCAGTCTCCAATACAAAAGGCAGGGAAAAATTGGGCAGAGCAAGAACTAGGGCAGTAATAAGTGCTTGTTGTAACTGAGAAAAGGCTGCACCATGTGGACTTGTCCATTTGAACTGCCCTTTTTTAAGTAAATCATGCAGAGGTCTGCAAATCACTCCATAGCCCTTTATAAATCTTCTATAGTATCCAGATAATCCCAAGAAACTTCTCAATTTAGTTACATTGTCAGGGATTGGCCAGTCTGCAATAGCTTTGATTTTATGTGGATCAGTAGCTACCCCCTCAGCAGATATCACATGACCCAAATACTCCACTTGTTAAATTGCAAACACACATTTAGAAAGTTTTGCACATAACTGATTTTCTTTCAATATTTTGAAAACAGCCTCTATATGCTCTTCCAATGTCTTATTGTAGATGAGTATATCATCAAAGAACACTAGCACAAATTTTCTCAGATGAGGCCCAAAGATCTTGTTCATTAGAGCTCGGAAAGTACCAGGGGCATTGGATAAGCCAAAAGGCATCACTAAGTACTCAAAGTGGCCCAAGAATGTTCTGAATGCAGTTTTGTGTATGTCATCTGGGTGCATCCTGGTCTGATGGTAGCCTGCTCTCAAATCTAGTTTGGATAAATACTTTGCCCCTTGTAATTCATCACGCAAATCCTCTATAACAGGAATGGGAAATTTGTTTTTGATTATCACTGAATTCAATTTCCTGAAATCAGTACACAGCCTCATTGAGTTGTCTTTCTTATTGACCAAGATCACAGGTGCAGCATAAGGACTTTGACTGTGTCTGATAAAAAGAGTTGCCAATAATTTCTTGATTTGCTCTTCGATTTCCTTCTTCTGGTGTAGAGGAACTCTGTAGGGCCTGGAATGAGGAGGTTCAGTACCAGGTTTTAAAGGAATTGTGTGGTCACACTCTCTATTTGGAGGCAAAGTATTGGGTTCCTCAAACAGATCTGCATAAGCCATTAGCAATTTCTGTAATTGGGGAGGAGTTTGAAACCAGTAGGTGCTTGCAGAATTATATTGTGCACTTGTAACAGAAAAGCCTCAGCTCCTTTCTCTAGCAACTTGCCCATTTGTTCAGCTTGCACTTCTTTAACATTCTCTAGTGTATTGAAGATGGTAGCAGTAACTGTTGTTTGACCTTGCAGTGTAAAACTGAAAGTGTTGTCTGGAATATTGAAAGCTACTGGGCTCATTTGAGTGAACCAATCATAACCCAGTATAACATCATATCCAGGCAGGGGTAAAACTCTGAAATTGTATTGCAATGATTGCTTGGCCAACTAAAAGTCACAGCTAGGAACTACTGCCTTGGATATTAATTTACCACCTCCTGCAACTCCAATCATTCGAGGTTTCACTGGTATTAGATGACAGTTTGCCTTTACTGCAAATTCTTGGCTCATAAAGGAGGAACTACTGCCTGAATCTAACAAAGTTGTTGCTCTTTTCCCATTGATGTGAATAGTCACAGTTGGTGTAGGTACTGCAATTTGTTGACTTATTGCATGAGCAGTTATAAACATTTCTTGTTCTCCCTCCTCCACAATTTCCTCCTGTTCTTGTTCAATACCTTCTTCTGCCATAGTATCTTGTTCAACTCATTCATGTTGCATTAAGTGCACATTAGGTACTAATTTGCACCTGTGTCCTGGTACCCATTTATCTCCACATCTCCAGCATTCTCCTGCTTTTCTCATCTTCTGAAATGTATTGTTATTGGTTTATGTTTGCTTGGCTGGAGTACTTTGTTGTCCAGTATTTAAGACAGTACTGTTTCTGTTTTGAACACCTCCAGTGTTTTTCTGGTAGTAGTTCACAAAAGGAGTGCTTGTTTTCTTTGGCATTGTACTGATGTGTGGATAATTGGGTTTCACTTCCTTAGCTAAACAGTAGGCATCAGTTAGAGTTTGTGGTCTCAATGGTCTAAGTTGACACTTGATTCCTTCTCTAAGACCATTCACATAACATCTAACAAACCAAGCTTCTCCTAGTTCAAGACTTTCTTCCATGATTTCTGCCATCAAATCTTCAAACTTTTTTGTATAAACAGTAACTGTATTGCTGGCTTGTTTCAGTGAACTGAATTTTTCAGTGAGGTCATAAGATCCTTGTTCAGAAAATCTTTTCACCACCTCTGCTCCAAATTGTTTCCAAGTTAACTGTTTCTTTAATAGTCCTGATCCCCTTAACCAAATATCAGCCTCATCAATGATGTACATCTGAGCTAATGACACTTTATATTCCTCAGGAGCAGCAGCCATCTGAAAGTATTTATTACATTGTCTGATCCATCCCATTGGGTCTTCCCCAGAAAATCTGGGAAAATCCATTTTAGGGCCCTTTGTTAATGATCTCATGAACGGTGCATGCATGTCCTATTCATAAGTCTTGTGATATCCCTGCCATAATTGCCTATCTCTGTTTTGCTAATAAAACTGATTAAAAGCAGGTGTATGAGCATTTTGTCTTGATGTCACAGGAGTACCCACATTGCTATAAGTGTCATGTCTTCCTTGGGGCACAAAACCAGGAGGTCCATTTGTTATGTTGGTTCTGATTGGTGGTAGATTCTGCAATTGAATTTACTCCAACTGCTTGGATTTCTCTTTCTCTGCTGCCAATTGCTTTCTCAGCTGCTCCACTCTAGCTTCTTGTTCCTGAGATTGGCCTTGGTTCAGTGTAGGTGACCTGGGCACTTCTTGAGAACTCGAAGGATGATCATCATGTTGCACTGTTTGTGTTGTTTTCACCAAGGTCTGCAAAACAGTACTGATTGCAGATAATTGTTTGCCCAAATCTGACACCACACGCTCAACTTCCCCAACGGTAACAGAGATCTCTCCTTGTTTGGAGCCGATTGCTTTCACTTCCTCCTGAAGTTTTGATACTTGTGTCTGCATCTGACTGCAGTCTTTCTGCAGAATCCCGAAATCCTCGCGCATCGCCAAAATTTTCTGGAGATCAGTGTCATCCATAACCTTGGAACGCCCCATCGCCTCGATGTGAAGTATGGGTATGGAATTTTACCACTGAAAACTCAGCAACCCTTCCCAATCTTCAGATCCTGCCACCGCCAACAAATTCGCCGCCCTGGCACACGGATCGGCACGTAGAACACAGAATTTTACCAATCGAACAGGTGTGTTCGAACAACCGCTTCTGCTCGGCCGATCTGTGCCCGAATGTCACCGCCGCCTGCGCCGCCACACCGGACCCCGCCGCCAGCGCCGCCAAACTCTGCCCCTTCCAGGAGCTCAAGAAGAAGGGTGGGAAAAAGGGTGGGATTCGCCGATCGGGAATAAAATTTCACTACCGGAGCACGTTTCTGCCGAAGAAAGATGGCTCATGATACCAATTTGCCAGGCCCAAGTTGACCTATAGACTTGTAAACACGAGTATAACAAGTGAAGGTAGCTAATCTCTCTGGATCTGACGTATATTAGGAGTGTACGGAGCAAGAGTGTTTAGGGTTCTAGCCCATCATCCAGAATTGGGGAAAGAAGAATGGTCTATCCAGCCACAGCGGCTGGTTATAAGGCTCGCAGTGACAACTAGCGCACTAGTAAAAACGGGAAACGCTACAGTACAACAGCTACGGTGGGAATTCTTCTGAAGCCATCGTAGCCATCCGTTGTCTGAAGCGGTACGTTGCCGGAAACGCTTCACCTAACTGGATCTTCAACAGGGCTAACTGAACATGCCTGACAGGTGGTCGCCGCCTCGGGGTAGGAACTATGTTGGGATGGCCTCGTTGAGGCCACGAAGGTCGAGGTTGCGGCAAAATCCGATGTTGCCACGCCGGCCAAGAGCTTCGAAGGAGCATCGGCTCGGCTCGGTCCAGTGGTCAGCAGTGCCGCTGCGGCGGCCACAAGTCGACCTCAACAACCAGCAGAGTCACTGCTGCATCCGTTACGGGTAGCGGAGGGGCGGCGATTGGCCAGAATCGACGGGGCCGCGGGGCTGTAGCGGTAAAATATGAGGCTGCCCCAAAAAATTTGCAGCACCAATAAAGATATGGCATCTGGAGTTGTGTTTTTTGTCCAAATGGTCTAAAAAAACAGTTTTTTTAGACAGTTGCCCTATTATACATAATCGGTTGGAGATGCTATCACGGCCACAGGCTCTCTCAACCGATGCTCTGAGAAGTCAAATGTTCAAAAGAGACTATACAGTTTCAAACTGTTAAAAAAAAGGTCCATGCATGTCATCGTCAATATCCATACCTGCATCACCAGGATCTTGGAGCAAAAACGGTCACGATTACTGTGTGGATTTTCAAACCGAAATCACCTTTGGTGCTGTCATGTCCAGATGAGCATACTCAGGACCTCTAACAAATTGGATTGCAACAGATGATGACGACGTAAGATTTATACCAGCATTCAGTGCTGTCAAAATCTCTGGTCTTTCAGAGGAATGGGGGTTAACGGCGCAAAAGAAGTACTCCTACTCCTTTAAAAAAACATCTAGTTATGTCAAACTGGTAGGCTGGAAAACGAAGAGGTCGTGCATAGATGTTTCGATGGAGACCGCAACAATTTTCTTCTATAAACTAAAAGGCATAAATGGAACTTCTGCAGATGAGATGAGAAACAACACATTCAGATTCAGCAACACCGACCCTTTTTATTGTAGCCATCAATGAACACATCTGAGGGTGTCTGAAACCTCCACACCAGCCCACTACTTTCACACGCAATAACAGATGAGTTTACAACTTCCCGTATGTATAACAGACGCACACGTGAAAAATGGTATGCGACGGGCAAGCAGACTAGAGCACCTGCAACTTACTGAGATGCTCCAGGAGAGAGGTCGCCTTGCGCTTGGCTCTGTCCGAGCCGGTCTTGGACAGCTCTGTTAATGGTATTTGAGCACCCAGCCTCCCTATGCAAGCGAGATTCTGGGCATCCTTCTTGCAGAGTGCAAGTAAAATGGCCGCCGCATTCTCCTTGTTACGGGCCTGGCTTGATCTTAACAAATCGATCAAGAAGGGGATGGTGTGAGCCTTGGCTATCGCCGTCTTGCACTCGTGGTGACTCACGAGGACCGACAGGATTGTGAGTGCCTCGTCGGTGGCTCCGGTGCTGGATGAATCTTGCAGCATCTGAACCAGTGGTGACAATATTCCTGCCCGGACCGCGCGGACCTTGTTTGCCTGGTATATGCATAGATTGAACAGTGCTGTTGCTGCATCTTTTCTACCTCTTGAACTGCCACTCTTCAGCAACTCAACCAATGCTTCAATTGCCCCGGGCGTGCTTCCTATCATTATCTTGTTATCATCAATTAGTGACAAGCTGAAAATAGCTGCAGCTGCATTTTCTCTTGCCTCCATGCTACCCGTCCTAAGCACCTGTATGATTGGGACAATGGCACCACCAACCACTATCAGTTCCTTGTTTTGATCATATATGGAGAGATTCAAAAGAGATGTAACTGCGTGTTCCTGGGTTTTTGGGTCTTTTGAGGACAAAAGTTTCACTAGAGCAGGAATAGCACCAGACTCTGCTAGAAGCATGCGGTTGTCTGTACTTTTTTTGGCCAAAGATCTTATTTCTGCAGCAGCAGATTTCCGTTCATCCAATGAGCTGCAAGAGAGATTGCGAACTAATGCTTCAATTGCTAATCTGTCCTCACCGACCTCTACGGAAGAACCTTCATACTTAGATCTCGTAGGTGGTTCGATCCCTTTTTCCTCACACCATTGCAGTATCAAACTTCTCAATACATAGTTTGGGGTTAATGTAAGGTTTTGGAGCTTCTGTTGAGTTTTTGGGCAGGTTCGGTTTCCACCATCAATCCACCTTTGAATGAAAGCACGCTCATATGTCTACACCAATAGCAAGAATATTGTCAGAAGATGCCAAATATATTTGAAACATAGACAGCAACAACCTAAGTGCAGCGCGAATAAATAATAAGTGATGGTGTGAAAATTTACCTGCCCTGTTGACACAATGACAGGATCTCTCATCAGCTCAAGAGATATTGGGCAACGGAAATCTTCAGGCATAGCTACAGTGTCGGGCTTCTTAACGTTGTCAGGTGAGTCTTTTGCTTCATCACTTGTTTTGCTATCACCATTGGTTGGTTTTGCAGAATCATCAACTCTAGTGTTTTCAAGCCCTTCAATTAGCTCAGACGTTATTTTTTTAATGTCAGATTTAGATATCCCGCTTATTTCTGAAATTAGTAAAGCAACATGTTGCAACTCCAAGTGATCACTGCTCAAGTTTTCCAACGACAATGTCTCTGGCTGGCTGTGTGGTTCTTCAGATTGTGATCCAACATTATCAACATGATGAGCTAAGATATCATGAATTTTTGAAAAAATATTTAGATCAAGGGCTCCCTTCTTCTCCATTTCTCTTTTAAGCTGACCCCGCACTAAATCAACCTACAGATTAATCAAATTAAGCAGGTTTGATTAATTAATGAAGCATCAATCTTAGAAATGTATCAGTCAATCAGGTTAACTATTACCTCTTCTTGAACTTCATCAGATATTTGAAAACAACTATGCGGTAGATTTGTTAGAGCTGCTTGCAACTGCCAAGTGACATACTTGAACTGAACAGCAATATTCTTGTCGTTGACATCCTTAACAACGAAAACAATGAAGCATAAGAATTAAAGATACTAACATGTTATTGAATGCAAAATGAATATATAAAAGGGCATGAAGCAGGTCAGACTGTACAGATTCGATACAAGTGCATCTGTGGTCATATTCAAAAGGTTGTTCTCAACTGAGCCGACTGACATGCACGTACCAAGCCATTAAAAATCGTATCTAAGTTGGCAGTAACACAGAGGATGTCGATATGATATGAATACAGCATTGGAAAGGATAATGAACTAGATTTCATATTCACATGTTGTATGAAAGTTTAATTATTTAGACATGACAGTTTTACATTACGAACTAACACAAGAAAGTTTTTTCCTACATCCAGTCCTGTCAGTTAGTTTAATCATGTGCTAGCCTTCTAGGAGATTTCGGATAAAAAGAAACACGTGCTATATATATCCTTCCAACAAGATCAGTTTGGCCCCACAAATATAAACATCATGTGGAGAGAACAATCCTGCAGGCAACACAAGCTAAAAGTATCATACTATTGTGCCTCCTCTTAAAGATGAATCTAGTGCTAATATATTTTGCTAAAGATCATTTGTGCGCCTGAGTCCTGAAGTAAAGAGTAACTTGGGGACAAATAGCTCAAAGAACCTCCTGAAAATTTAGAAGTTACAGACTTACAGTGACAACTACTAAACACTTATCTTCCTTGGACCAATTTTAGGAGAGATGGTTTCAAGGAGTCAAATGACTGGCTTATCTACTCCACCGCATACACATAATCATGCAAATTTGTCAATGTTATCCCAAGTAGCATAGTGTGGTATTGAGACCAAAAGCTAATTTGACGAAATACAAGACCAGAGATCAAAAGGCTCCAGTAAGCAGCAACAATTTAGAAAAGAAAACCCTAATAAATACTTTTAGACAACCCCTAACCCAATTTATACATTCGATGAGTTCAAGTATGGTGACTTGATAGTTAATATGCATTTTTATTAGATATTGAAGGTTGCAAAATACGAATTGGCAATGGCAATGAGATTTCGGATGGATAATGGGAAAAAGGGATTGTAGGAAACCAGGTCAACGTGAACCCATGGTCCTTGCTAAGCATGCTAAGACGTAACTTGTTTGACACCTTCGTTCTTCTTACTTGGTGCGCAAAAGTTTATATTCATCGAGGAATCATAGAAGTATAGGAAGACACGCATGATCTGACCATATCAAGATGCGCCCAAGTCTATTAAGATCTACAGCTGTAGCACCTAAAATATCATAGTGCAATAGCTGCAACTGGAGCGGCTGGACAAAAAGATCTACGCGCAAGCGAAAGTTAAAGCTTCGTGAATGAATTTCTAAAATCTTGCCCGCTATACTAATCGTCAACGGAAACGAACAACGATGCCGAAAAGAGAGCAATCTAGAGAAGGCGAGAACTAGACGCCAAGCAATCGCGCTCCAAGTGTTCGACTGAATCTCGCCCAAGAGCCGCGCACCAAAGAAGCGAGCAATGCAGAAGGTTTGATTCTTTCAACCAAGAGATCCCCGTCAGTCACCTGATCCGCGGCGCCCGTGTCGAGCGCCGGCCCGCGGCCGAGCGCGACGAACCTCCTGGCGGCCTGGAGCGCCCAGAGCAGGTCGGCCACCCACGCCGCCGCCTCGGGCGCCGCCGCCGCCGCGCTGTCCTCCCCAGCCGCCTCGGCGACCTCGGCGACGAGGTGCGTGAGCAGGGACACCTTGCGCGCGAGGCGGAGGCAGTCGGCCCGCAGCGGCTCCGGCGCGGCGGCCAGGTCGGCGGCGCCCACGGCCGCGATCTCCCGCACGATCTCCGCGGCCGCCCCGGCCGTCGCCGCCATCGCGACGCCCCGGGTCAGGACTTCGCGCGGAGGGCGGGAAGCGGGAGCGGGCGCGGTGGCGGTGGCGGTGGGGAAGCGGAGGGGGGAGGGGGCATGCCAATCGCCAATGTCAACGTCGCGCAGTAATGTAGGAGGAGGAGTGCCCGCGCAGGCGCAGCCAGCCGCGTAGTGCGAGGGGGCTCGGGGAAGGAAAGGGATGATGGTGACGACGATG